TAGCAAGAGTTAAAAAAAAATATTTGCAGAATATTTGAATTGAGTATGGGCATTATCAGAAAATGTATCCAGTTGATGTCCAAGTATCCCACATTTTTTTTCTCTGCATACACAATGACACCATAACCACTCGCCCCTCACATACACACTCTCCCACACACACACACACACACACACACACACACACACACACAGATGTCATAAATACACTTAGAGTGGGAGAGGGAAAGATAGAAAGTCCTGAACAGCAGATGCAGCTGCAGCAACCATTTTTTATCATCATTTCCGGAACTCGTTGACAAACGGAAGCGACGAGCCGAGTGCAAAAGGGGTCGACGATTGTACAGGGGCGGGGTGGGGCTCAAAAGGGGTGCCAGAAATACATTAAGAGAGGGACGACGAGCGGGAGGAAGCGGATATGACCGAAATGGCATAGCCATTGCTTATAATTTTACATTTGAAAACTACACTTTGAACTACTTTCCCATGTAAGTATGTGCTTACTTATACGACCATCGAACGAGCGATTATCCCCCAGAAATACCCTTTTGAGACTTTCTAGTGGCTTCTCAGCTGAGGCACTTCAGTGAAACTCTGTAGAATATAAAGTTGAATAATAAACTATAAGAGTTATAGTATTCCTAAAAATAATTCATTTAGAAATGTATCCCCCAAATCAAACCAAACCCCAAATTTAGTTTTTCATCTACAAGGCTTAAGCACAGCTGAGGGTTAAACATTGTATAATATTTAATATTTATCTGAAGATAAAGCGTTAAATATAAAAAAAATCACAGTAACAGCTTATCCCAAAAAATAATTTGTCAAAATAAATGTTTACCCGTTTTACCAGCGACAAAGATAGCGTGTAGTTGTTATCAAATACTTATTATTATTTATGTGTACTATTAATGTTAAGTTAATACATATATATATTCAATTCCTTGGCAAATACCGAACCCACATCATTTCGATAGTGACAACTTTTTATGCCCCTGCTACTGGCCATAAAAAAGTCATAAAACATCGATATCAATGAGCACATATTTGCCCATCCCTTCGAGGCACTCGAGTCAAAATCTCTGGCTAATTTCTTGGTCGAAGCAGCGCATTCGCATGGTCAACCATGGGTGCGCTCAACACTTCGCCAAATCCCGTCCTTATACTCCTAGTTTCCCCCTTTTGGGGCCATTTCTTTTGGCTACTCTCCGCAGTTACTGCCATTTACTCCATATCAGCAAATCCAAGCCCATACCATTCCAAATAACACGCCCTGCTCGTTGGGCTCTTTCGACAGGATTCACTCTTTATGTATGTACACTACGAAATATCACGAGTAAGTTTTAAACCACAATTTTCCATTTCAAATATAATACTTCAGTATTTGAAAAACGAGAGAGCCATAAAATTAAGTTTAATTTTAAACTGTTAGTTCTTAAGCTTTATTAACCAGTATTTTGAATTAAGAATTTTAATAATACATTTTAGGATTATTACAAAAATTAAATTAAAAGCAATGAAAATTGATTCCATAAATTAAATATTCTAGAACAAAAAATATAGCAGAAAATGAAATATACAATATTTTATTTCTTAAATCCAAATGATAATATGTTTTCAAATTTAAATTAAATTGATTGAATTTCTTATATTTTCTGGCGGTGCATAGGAAGTATGTGTGTATTTGTGTGGAGTGTTTTTTCGCATTGACAGCAAATTCGAAATATATTTGCCCACTGGCCGACTGGTTTCCTTTCCAGCCACGTTTTACACCACATTTTCGGGGCTTTCAACGGGCCGCTTGAGCTTGGAATGTTTTTACTGCTGAATGGGTAATTTAGTATTTGGCAATTAGCTTTTGCTTTCGGCTCTTCCTTTCTCTGGCCGACTTCATTTTCTATTTTCCTCTGCTTTTTTCCAAGCATTTTTCTTCCACTCATTGGCACATGCATTCTGCCGAGTCGTCGCTTCGTTCGCCTGTTTGTTTATCTGTTAAATTATGCAGTCGTCTATTAAGTGGCTGAGATTTATGTGACCGCCGCCAGCAGGAGTGAAAATATGGCCACGAGTCAGGAAAATCCTTTTAGTTTTCATGTGCCAGTATCGGAAAACGAGTTCTTCCAATTGCTCGTATGTGTGCATTGCAAATTTTAATTACATTTAAATTTTTTTTATTTTTTATTAATATTTGACTCAATATGCAAAGTTTATCAAAAGCCACAGCAATGGCTGTTATAAGTAAGATCAAAATTTATTACTTACTCAAGAAGTTTAATAAATAGAAAAATAAGTTTAATTATATCAATAATTTGTATTTACACAGATTTTTTACCAATCTTTTAACGATGAACAATTTAATGATATATTAGGCGTATTGAAACATTGATTTCATCATCAATGGAATTAAAATTTTTGTGTTATCCTTAAGAAATATATTTTAAATAAACTTATAAAAATCCTAGGAATAATTTCAATCTGATTCAATCCATGCGTAAGATAAACATTTAATTAGCATTATAATTTGAAGACCCATACATCTCTACGCACATAATTTTGCATATAAAAGGCAAAATACATAAATTCGAGGTTCCATTTTAATAAGTGTGTACACAAAATAATACGCACGTTCGCCTATCTATAATACTACATAAAGTAATATGTGAAATTTGTTTTCCCATTTTGTCATTTGCAATTATTTTGCCATGTTGGCCCCGGCTTTGTACCGCTGTCATTTAATTTTGTTTACGCTTCATTAAATATTATTGAAATGCTGCAATTAATTGCGTAATTGTTATTTTATGTCGCAGCGCAACTGTTTCGGGCACTTTAAGCACTTGACACAACAGCCAGTGGCCAGTAACTGTTGCCCTTTGGCTTAATTCTTCCCTTCCCCTCCCTTTGCAGTCACTTTCCTCATTTTCCTCTGAACTTTCCTTCACATTTTCCTCCATGTTTTCATGTGAACTCATTGAGAGCCCCGAGCGCCATTTGCCCGCCAACAAATTGCACATTAAATTAAACACAAATAACTCGTAAAATTATAAAATTGTTGAATGTAAAAACGTAAAGTGCAACAACTATGTAATTAGCTGCCAAATCAACAAGCGTGCAAATTATCAGTGGAAATAGTGAAAAAAGTAAATATAATAAAACTGCCAGGAACCGCAAAAAATTCAAAAATGGTAGCACGCAAGGAAAGCATGCAAATACCCTACATGGTTTTTTAAAAAATTATTATGAGAACTATGGACATGGCTAAGCAATAAATAAAATGTCCCTTTCATTCGGTTTTAATTATAAAATTGTATTTTATTTTATTCATTTACACTACTTATTTATTTCATTTACACTAAAGTAAAATATATATTAGCGATTAAAAATTCAAAATGACCATTACTGCTTGATCCAAAGAAAATAAAAATAGTGATTTAAATACAATCAAAACAGTAGAGAAAAACAGTTAAATTAAAACCATATTTTTTTACATTTCCATGGTTTGGGCAAGATACAGGGTGTAAATCCTTAGCTCATGTACACTTTGGGAAAATAACAGGCAGTTATAACACACATAACTCGTCCATCGCATGCAATTTCGGAACGGTTTGAGGTTTTCGGTTGGACGTTGAACAATTGCCTGACATTTCACTTAGCCAACCTCAACACATTTCACTTTTTACATCCATTTCGCTCTGAATTAGTCTTAGTTCGCTCACGCTGCTTGGCAAACAAAGGAAAAAAATATATGTGTATACAAAATGTGGCAGTAAATCAAAAGAAGAAATAAAGGGGCAAATCCCCACCCAAAGTCATTTGTCAAGCGTCCACAAGAGCGCTGACAAGTGAAAAGCGGATGGGGTAAGCTTCCTTGGGGATTGGGGTTTAGTTTCTAGCTTCCGAGCCTATACACAGAGAACAAATCAGGGGAGCCTTCAAATTATAAATCTGAAAAATTATTTGTAAAATTTGATAAAGAATTTCAAAGTATGAAAATAATAAAATCCCTGCTTTGGTTTTCAATATAAGCAACGCCTTTTTGACTTATAAATAGATTATATTATTTATAACATATGAACAGAACCGAAACATGCACTTATTTATTTCACTAAAAATATTCCTTTCCCATTTGTCCACTTTCTTCCAGTTATTCTTCACTTATTAAGCTGCCTTCAATATTTTTTTTACTGTGTAGAATTTGTCGGCCAAAACGATTTAATTTCATTATTAAACAATGGGCGACAAAGTGGCAGCAGATTTCATTTATGGCCCGCCTGCTCACAACACGCGATGTAATGTGACCTCAACCTCAATCTTATGTGAAAAGACTGAAGTTGAAGTGACCTGCCCCAACTAATTTTACATTGGAGCTTGCCATCCAGCACGCGAGAACGAGGGGCGGGAAAAGCTGGTGGGCGGGGGCGTGTCAGCGGTCAGGTCAACGTTGACGCATTGCACAGGAACCAGATAATTAAGCATAATGACAGAAATATTATACAGCACTTGCAGCACTTGCTTGATAGATGACCCCACATGAAGTGGAGCGAAGTTAAGTGAAGGCTGCCTGAAATATGGCCAGATGACACAGGAACAACCAATTTGGTGCCAGCACTAATCAGATCAAAAGCGTTGGTAAGAGGGGTTCGTGAAGGGACTTACTGGAGTAAGCTGGAATCTAGATTAGTGGCGCTAACTTGAAATGTTACCTTCTTGAACGCTTTAAAAAGCTCACATATAAATAACAAATTTACGAATTAAATTTTTACAAATAAATCAAGTTTGATTTAAAATATATACCATCTTAAATTAACAGAAAAATTGCATTTTAGTTATTGGGAAAAAATAATATTAATATAAGTGGTTAGGTTTACTTACTGTCTGAATTTGCTATAGATCTAAAGATAATGTGGAACATTAAAAACGAGATCAGAGCGGCCTGGAAACTCTAAAAGTCAAGCCCATTTTCGAAATAAATTTTCTTTGCTCAGTTGTGAGTGCCAAGAGCTCCCACTAACACGTTTATTTTCTACGCTCCCTAAAAACAAAAAGTAGTTTTTACTCTTATAATTTTATACGCAATTTCACTTTTGTGTCAGCTATCGATTACCAAGTGCTCGTGGCTTGAATTTGTAACTCATCATGATACGAATGGAAAACGTATATCGCACGGGAAGCGGGAAAAACTCGTGCAGTTCTTCGCGTCGCGAGATCCTTGCTTGGGTGAATAAAAGCCTTGACGTGAATGTCGAGCGGTTGGAGGACCTCTGTTCCGGTGCGGAATATTGCAGGCTGCTCCACAAGCTCCGTCCTTCGGCTATTAACTTGAAGAAGGTCCTGATGTCCACAAAAGCCCAGCGTGGCTTTATCCACAATATGAAGTTGCTGCAGAAGAGCCTTTTGAGTCAGGGCGTGAAGAAGCAAATACCCATTTATCGCCTAGTTGATGGTGGTTACCGCGAGAACCTAGAGTTTGCCCAGTGGTTCAAGAGCTTCTACGATCACAACTACTTGCTGCTGAAGGATGAAAATGTCCAAGAAAAAAAGGATGGTGTTATAGTCTTGGTCAAGCCACGTAACATATCCCAAATGAGGAAATCCTCTGACAAGAAGGAACCCATGAAAAAAGCCAATGAAATTTTGGAAAATATTTCTGAGAATACCAATGCCGAACAACATTTCACAGAAAGTGATGATTCTACTGAAAGTTCTGAGGATAGCGCAAGGACCAGAAGAGAACAACATTCATGTTCGTATGCTAATGGAGCTTCAAGAAAGCCTAATGCCCGGTCAAGGATGCGAGGATCATACTCAAAACAAACCAGCGGGACTTCCACGGAACTTAGTGACATTTCAAGTGTTGGCAGCAATGATTCAAGTGTGGGCAGCAATGATTCAAGTGATTTTACTTCAAATTCAGGTAATTGTATGACATAATTCTGATTACACTACTCCAATTTAAATACAATTTTTAGAAGAGAATGGAAGACGTTCCAGAAACTCAAATGGGTACTCAAGAATGTTGGAAGAAAGCCAGAGTGATTCCAGTGGACATTCAATAGAACTTGAAAGCTATTGTGGATGCAGGACATGTGAAAAGGGGCGAAAGATCGCAAAACAACGCACAATTCCTTTAACGCGGTTCCGTCTAAGAGAATTTTTCGGTTCGGGAAATTCTTCACCAATACTAAAGTGCTCACGACAGAGGGTTCCCAACGTTTTTCAAATAGGCGCCTGGATTTTAGAGGTTCCAGTTCAACAATTTTCCGACAGACCACGTCGTAAAGCTAAGATCTTTAAATCGCTTTTTGTCAAAGAGGCGATAAAGTGGAAATGCAATGCTCTCAAAGGTGCACAAATGAATGTAAGTTCTCCAAACGCAGAAACGAATTCCACTCCTTTGATCAACAATTCCAGCAAGGACCTTTTCCCACAACAACTTTCTTTAAATGAAACGATCGAGAAACTAATGGGTGTACTTTTTAATGGAATAGAATTGAATTTGTCGGCATCTACCTCCAAAGGCGTAACAACAAAAAAGAAAACTGAAGTTTTGTCAACACTTAAAAAATATTTAAGTTTTAAGGTAATGAAAAGTCTGACGAACAATAAGCAGTGGGAATCGGAAACTTCTCCGAAATGGGATAAAACTGAATTGGCGGATTCAGTAGGTTCAAAATGCAATTTAATAGGAAAGGTGGAGGATAACAGTGCTACCGAAGAACTACCACTAAATCAAGAAGCTGTCCCCTTATTGGAGGAAATTATATTGACCCCCGATATGAATAAAATCGATTTTGGCTTGGGAGTAGTAGATATTCCATCTACAACTGATAACGGGTCTTCAAAGTCGGCTAGTGAGTGTCCCATATCCCCACTTTTGACGGGCAGATGTGTTTCGGCCGAAGAGGCGAAAAATAATTTGGTCGATTGGAAAGACCATCATTTGGAAACACCTTCTTTAAAAATACCCGAAAGCAATCTTCAAAGCTCACAAACAGCAAATGATAAATATTCTCTTCAAACCATACCAAAATCTTTTATGAAAGTTGAAGTTTTACCACTTCCTGAAGACAGTTCTGCAAAAGCCAAAAACCTGAAACCAAAAGAAGTAAGTTTAGTAAAAACTGAAATTCCATTTGTCAGTGTTGTGGATACTAAAGAACCAAGCAAGCAGGATCAAAGTTATTTTCTAAAAGCACCAGGACTTACTAAAGAATGTCCTGCTTTACTAATTACTGAAAATTCCGAAATTCAGTCTAGCGAACATTCAAACGAAAATCGAACCAAACGCAGATGTCAAAACTCAAAATGGGAAATCAAAACTGTCCCAAGATCTCGAGAAGAAAACCTACCAATCTTATTATCAATTTCCAAAGACTTTGCAAAAAAAAACATGGTCGAAACGGTCAAAATGTTTAATGACCCGTTTATCGAGCACTGCAAAAAGTTGCATTGCAAGTTAAATATTGTTCAATCCAAGATAATGGACCTTAGAAGTCGATTCCAAGAGTACCAGCAGTTACATAAAACAGATCTGGTTGGCTTAGCCGCAATAAAAGGCGATGTAGGGAAAAAAGAACCTTTGAATTCGAATTTGCACTCTGAAAATTTTGGAAAAGTTTGGGGTGAAAAATTCTACAAGAAAACCTCAAAGAAGAACGATCGTCGCCCAGGCTATGGAGGTGTTCAGAAACGTAAACGCAGTCTGAAAAGTAAAATAAAGCCCTGGAAGTATTGGACCAGGCAGGGAAAAGTACCCAGTATGTCGGATTCAGTGAAAGATGATCAATGGAATAAGGACAATAACAAGGAAAATTTAGATCAGGCGATCGCCTTGAACACTTCCTCTAAATCAATGAATAAAGACTTTTCCTCCGATGATCAGTGGGATAATGCCAATACTGAGAATTTAGATCAATCGATCGCTCTGGTAATAAAAGCCATCCGAAATAAGATCGACACTATTCAATCAATAGGGGGAAAAGTGGCGTTCTACCGCAATAAGATCAATCGTATTAAATTCCTCTGTACCCACGTACCAGGCACCAATAGTAACGACATTATCAACATTTTGCGAGAAGAGGAGGAAATATTACCCGATTTAAGTGTTGAATACATATAAATTTTGTATATATTTGTAATGTGTATTTATATTGTTTCAGCCATTTTGAACAATAGTTTTCCCAAGACCAAAAAAAAAATCCTAAAAATCTGCTTGAAAATTTAACGAAAATAAATTTAAAAATCCATCCCCGACAGCTCTGCCGAACTAAAATAATATTTAACCAACTAAAGATTTCCCCAGTTGTTGTTTTAGCCGCAGTAGTCGAGTTGTCTCGAGTTCAAATTTGCCTACACTTGTTGGGTAATTGCTGCGAAGTGGAGTGGAGTGTCTGGTTTTGGGTTCGGTGCCTCCTTCTGTCACTCGGCCAGTCAGTCAGTTAGTCAGTCAAACAACCAACGCAACCGCATTCATTTGCCAAATTAATGGCATTTCATTTGGGGCTGCTGCCGCCTCAGCTCGATTTCATTCATGCAAGGATGTCGTCCTCATCGTTGTCTTTTTTCTGTCGTTGTCCTTGTCGTTGTCTGTCCCGAATTTACGTGTCTGGTTTGGCCGCCTCTGGCGAAAAGATACTGCTCCTAAACCAACTCCTACACACGAAATATTTCTTATAGTTTTTAATATTAAAAAACAAAATGTCAAAAAAAATGTACAAACTAGATAATTTGACTGCACAAATGCTCCGTCTAAACTAAAAGATTTTTTGAACATGCCTTATGTCCTGATAAAACAAACCAAAGCTAGACTCCTTTGCCGTGTACCAACTCCTTTCTTCCAAAAGCGGCTTCATTTTGCCAACTGGCGGCTGGCCAGGAAAGTTCCTCTCTTTGGATTTTCCCCGAGGGTTAAGGGGTTGAGTGAGCAGATTGAGGGGACTACATTTCCAGGCGAACGATTTTGGCATCCAGTTGTTTGTCAGCGGCGTGCGATTATTCAAAAGTGCAACATGCAAATTTATTTTGTCCATAAAATGTTATGAGCTCGCATGAAAATGTCTGACAACAACTGGGACTAGCAATCGCTGTCACCCCGCCGAAAAACTTGTTGGCAAAACATTTTGATTAACCCTTTTCGAAACAAGTACATTTCTGACACCATACAGCTCTATGGCAGTGAACAGTTAATTAAAAGTACGAAGTTTAGCATGGGAAAATAAAAAAAACCCAAACATGTTTTAAATTTAATTTTTCTATAAATATAGCCAAGGCGACAGTAAACTAATTTTTATTTAATCTATCGGTACTCTTAGTGCGATAATATTTTAAATTATGGGCTTATAAATAAAATAAATATACTACAAACAATTGGAAACTATCTTAAATAATAAAATATACCACATGGTTGGGCTTTTGAACCACAAACAGACTTTCGGTAACTTATTTTGGTCTCTGGTTTTGTTTATGTTTTTTGTTGGTATCTTAATTGGATGGTGGAAACTGTGTTTGCCACTTCTTGTTTCTTGATTGTTTCCATCCATTATGCACTCCACACTCTCTGGCATTGAATTGATTTCAACCGCTGCCACATTTCAATTAATATGTATATTGTACATGCGGATATATACTGCCAACTCGCGGGAAAAGCCGCCAGTGATTTGCACTTTTCCAGCTCATTAAAATCGCATAATTTGTTAAATATTTACGAGTTTGTTAAGCGTGTCCTGGCCGCTGGATCCGCTTTATATTTTCGCAGCGGCTTCATTTACCTAATAAAATTACTGTCAATTAACGCCTGGTACCTCGCTCACCTACATTTTCCAGTCGCCCCACCTTTTTTGCCCCCTCTAGTTTCTCGAAACCCTTCTGGATTATTATTTACTTTGAGGGGTTCAGGTATAACCTCAGCAATACGGTCAATAAATTATGTAAACGGCTTAAGCTGCTGCGCATTTTTTAAGCCCTTCGCATAAATTAGCAACTGACAGTTCAGAACGCCACAATAAGACTAAAAAGTTGCTGGTGAATAAAATATGGGAGCAATTTTATGTAAATGTTAACATAAAAATGAATTAAGCCCAGTTTGACCACTGCTTATATATCAAAATGCATATTATACGTTACGTTGTTATGTTCTGTTCTTTTACAGGTATTTATTGAACGACGTTTATATAAATACACAAAGTTCAGAAAAGGTTCGTATGGCCTTGATAAAACTAAAGCTTTTAAATGATTTAATACCAATTTCAATCAAATATGTCATAATAGGATCACTATTTATAAAATTAATTTTCTCTATTCGACCAAAGAAGTTGTAGAAAGCGATAAGATAAGTATTAGAGCAAAAAAAAAGTAAGAGAAAAATGCAGCGTCGGCAAGGCAAAAGCTTTAATCCAGAAAAGAAACCAAAACCAGGAAGCGAGCGGCAAACTTTCGACATATAAAATTTCAACAGAAAGAAAAAAACATAAAGCTGATGTATTTACGAACAGAGCAGAACCATTTTTCAAGGGGCGGGGGTAAAATGTGGGAAAGTGGAAAACTCGGTGGTTTGGTGGCTGTCTAAGAGAATGCCACCAAATAATAATAGTTTTTCACTTGTTCAGTTTGACCGCTAGCAGCCAAGCGCCGAGTTTATGTGACAAACGTGACTCAAGCGACAATTGCTCGGCTTTCACCCGGGAAAATCCGGGAAATCGTGGGCCGAGGAAGCGTTGAAATTCGGAGCGGCAAGTGGGGGCTGCCTTTTTATGGCCACACAATAAAGCGAGCAATTGAGCGTCTTAAAGTGTCGCCCAAGTGCATTTAAATCACACACTTTGCGACCATTTGCCGTAATTTGACTTTAAATGTTATGGCCAAGAGTTGATTCAGCTTCATCGTCTCGCCCACTCGCCAACCACCTCCCTCATCCCCTTTTCTATGCTTAGTTTTCTAGATGAAGGACCTTGTACTTTGCTTTAATGGCCAATGTCTGGTCCCACAAAAAAATAAGAAAACCATAAATTTGATGTACATGTCGATTATGTGCCAAAAAAATCAAAAACCAGAAATTTCATGTGGCGCAGAAGTCCTTAGCCAACTTCACGACCGTGGCTAAATGAGGTCATCAGATGAAATGCAAGAATTGACAAGTCAAAAGATGGCCATAAAATTCACCAATTTTCAGTATTCATAAGAGTTACATATTGCATTCGAGGGTTTGCATAGAAACTGACAAACGGACATGGCTAGATTGACTCACCTGGTGATGTGCCCTTCACGGCGTTGAAATCTTTTCACTGAACATATAATAAAAGGACAATTTAAATAAGGTGCAGATTTTGTTGCTTAAAAGTTTCAGCATCCATATCAATTACATATTGCAATCAAGGGCTATTTCACAACACCAAGTAGGTTGAAAAACAGAATATCTTCCAAAAATGTAAGCTCGGGCTTGGATAAATACAAATATTTTACCAAAAATAAAATGAATGAAAAAATACATGTTTTGCGTGGGTGGTAAATGAATATATTGGCAATGAAAAAAAACAAGTGCGAGCTGAGAGGTGCTCAATATTATTTTCGAGGGTCCTAGCTGGTTTTTTTCCCCGTCATGATTGAAAACCATTTTTCTGCGGTTTTTTGAACTGTGCAAAACGCCAGTGGCGCAATCAAGTTCTCATCAATGAAAACTAATTAAAAAATCAAAAAATGAATACATTCAATAGATCCTTAAATATAAATATTTTTGGTAGGTATTTCTTAATAAACCGTTCCTTCTGTGCTTCACACAATTAAATTAAGTTATTTCGAGAGCACACCTATCAACTATTAGTTACCATTTGCTTTTCCTTAATAATTTATAGGACAAAACTGCCCAAAGATTCATGTCCAGGTACGTCTTTATAGTTCATAGTTTAACTGCCTATAAAATAATGTTTACTTCCGTAGACGGTCATCAAGATAATGTGGCTCTCTATCTATGGCTAATTTGCGTGCCTTTTAAAGGCGGTGGAAAATAAATCGAGATCGAGGGGCGGTCAGCAGAAAAGCGGAAAAGTCTCGCGGAGAAAAGCGCTGGATTCTCGATTGCAGGATGCGACCGCTTAAGTGCCTCTGCCAGAGTCATAACAATACACTATATAGCAACAAAAGCCGCCGCTGACATGCCGCTTATTATTTATGTATTTTAATAACAGGCAGACGACGACGTCGCGACAGAGCTAAAAAGAGATAGCGAGAGCCAAACCGAAAGAGATGGCTAGAGCCAATGTTAAAGAGAGGGAAGATGAGGCCGCTGGAAAATGAAGTACAATGGCTGACGGGCTACAAAATGGACATCGGTTAATGCGACAGCTGTTGGGGAGATCGAAAAAAACCAGTACAGCGAAAAAAAAGGACAGGGAAAATTGCGGCTACTGCTGCCTGTTAAAAACAATCAACATGCTTATATATACACGCCGAAGCCCTCATGGCGTATACTTAATTCCAAGCGAGACTTGAACTTTAAAGCGAAATGGCTACTTAATTGAAATGTTATACTCAGATTCTATGGTCATTTAAACAGAGAGCGACAAAGCTGTCGGAATACACTTTCATTATAACATGTTCCTCAATTCTTTCTTAGCGTGAATGATGGGGGGTAAAGAAAAGAGAAGAAAAACTCAAAGTATAATAAAAAATTACGTTAAATAAAATCTAAATTTGTTTTTCGACTATAACGTTAATACATTAAAAATAAATTCGGTGATTATCAACCAATCGATACTTTTCTTCCGTGTGGATTCGCTCATTGCATAATAAATGCTCTGTGTTTTAAATTTACGTTTATGCCTTTACAACGCTGTTCACTGATGCTGATGCGCATTAAATGTGTGAGTATCTGTGTGTGGCAAGGCAGGTGAAACCACAATCAGTCGCACAAGAATTCCAGTCACATAAATACTTACTTGCATCCACATATGTAAGAATAGCCGCAGTTCTGAAAGTTTTTCACATATCCCTGCGAACTCAAACTGAAAGCTAAAGGCTTAATAAAAGTATCCTTTTCATTTCATTACAGCTTCTTTTTCTTGCGGCCAAGTGAAATTGGCGGAAAATTGCCAACAATTTTAAGCCGGCCAAGATTGAGTTTAACATTCAAAGAAAATTTATACATTAATTAATGAAAACAATGTAAGTATTTATTTATATTTAAGTTAAAATACATTTTAAAATAGCTAACAAAATTGTATTGGATCCAACCATTAATTAATTTTTAAGCTAAAAGAATT